GGTTGCTGATAAGGTGAAGCATGAGATAAGTACTGTTATCTTGTGTAGTGGGAACTATGATAGGGATAAGATGGCGAAGCTGGTTTATGGTACGTGATGTTTTGCGGTTACGCATAGAAGCAAGCCTGCACTTCATACAGTCAAATTGATTTCTTGTGTTGACTTTGCTCTTGCCATTTCGTCATACGTTAAGGCTGTCCTATATATCAACGCTCTTTGCCAGTTCCTCCCATCCACGGCAAATCTCCAGCGTTTCTTCACACTTACTCTTCACTCTCCACCAACTATCCGACCCCAAAGGTACCCTCAAAGGCAATGTCTTACCCTCAGCAAAGCCAGTCCCTTTCACTAGCTCGATCATCCTCGCAACGGCTTTTTCAGGATCTCCTGGCGAATTCTCCGTCAAGGTCGCCTCAGCCTGTCGAACCGCTTCATTGAACTGAGCATACTCTGGGACACGAGCCTCAACATGCTGGATCTTGTTGAAAACTGGAGTGCGGCAGTATCCTGGCTCGACGATGAGGACTCTTAGGCCTGGTGCGAAGATGGCGAGTTCTTTGGATAGACACTCGACGGCGCCTGAACCTGTTAGTAATTTTGGGCATACGATATGGAAGAATGGTCGCAGCTTACCTTCTAGAGCGAACTTGCTGGCGCAGTATCCTGATGCACTGGGGTCGGCATGCCAGCCAGCCTGAGATCCGACGAATAGCAATGTTCCAGACCCCTTCTTCCTCAAGTACGGCAAGACGGCGCGGGTGATATTCATAGGTCCATGGAAGTTGACCTTGAATGACTTTTCCATGTCTTCTTGACTATTCTATCATCAGCTGTAATGCTTGTAATTCACAGCCCATGTTACTCACGTCAGCTCTTCCACTGCCCCACTGAGGATGTACCCCGCGTTGTTGACTACAACATCAATTCCATCGTAGATACTCCAAGCCTCGTCTATTTTGGACTTGATGACCTCAGGGGAGGATGAAACATCGAGATCTAGAATAGCTGCGCCAGTTTCTTTGAGGTGCGAGAGCTTTGTATCGGCGTTGCGGCCAGTGGCTATGACGTTATCGCCTGCAGATCGAAGTTGACGAACGAGGGCTTCGCCAAACCCGCTGGAACAGCCAGTGATGAACCAGGTTATCCCCATGATGCTAGAAATATATATCTTTGGACTTGCAAAGGATTCCAGACCGATTCAACGATAAGAAGGGTAGCGATTACGTTTTATACTTGCGGTGAACCAGGTTTGGAATCCTCCTTCGTGGATTGAGTCAGCATCAGTGGGACCAGTCTGACAGCTAACGTTACTTGATCCTGGCGATGTTTGCTTGAAAGGGATCTCTAGCTCAAAGACAAGCTAATTCCTGATTGTGATTTGATGTCCCAGAAACTTATCCCACCATGTTACGGTGACACTTCCATACAAGAACCAGATAACAGTTATCCGTCGTCCTTCTTCGTCCCCTTTGCTATTTGTTCCTCATAAACTAAATCGATGGCGTCACCATGGGTTTATGCCTTGAACTCCAATAGCCTTCCCGACATCTTCATCCTTCTCGCCCTTGATAACACGCGCAATTCGATCCCCTCCTTCAGCCGGCTCAGCTGCTCCCCGCTGCTTGAGAGACTCGGCATCACTGGTGAAGTTTGTCGCACACAACCCCGGATCTACCCCAAATACCAGTAAACCCTCTGGTTTAAGCCGAATGTTGTACATCGTCATGAGCATGTTCAGACCAGCTTTACTAGTCCGATATTCCGTCGCCCCAGCGCTATGAAGTGGCGATTCAGGGTTAGACGTAAGAGTGATAGATCCAGTGCTTGAAGTAACGAAGATGAGACGAGGTGGTTTATGCTCTGACTTGTGAAGAAGAGGGAGAAATGCTTCGGTGACACTCAGCGCACCAACGAGGTTTGTTTCGAGGACCCTGCGGAAAGCTTCGCGCGTTGGAGGACTGGCCATCGAGACGATACCAGCGTTATTAACCAGAATATCCAACCTGCCCCATTCAGAAGCTAGGGTTTGAGCAGCGGCATCGACGGAGTTGTCATCCGTGACGTCAATTTGGATGCTGGAGACTGTTCCTTTGATATCGTCGAGTGACTGGAGTGACCGAGCTGCTATCTCCCCTTTGGCTTCATCTCGACTTCCAATAATGACATGGTATTTTACCGAGGACAGGACTAGATTCTTGGCGGTTTCGAAGCCGACGCCTTGATTGGCGCCTAGTTGGGTATCTCAATGGAGAGTCTGTGTATCTTTGTGTGCGGCAACTCACCGGTAATCAGGACCAGCTGTTTGTATTTCGACATGTTGCATAAGATACGACATGAATTTTGGTGGCGAAGTAGAATTTTAGAGAGGGCTTTTGATGAATATATGTAGCAGTGCTCTTGTGCCATCTCTTCATGTCGCTACTGGCGGACTTAAGGCAAGCTCTAGCTTAAAATCCGCTCGCGGGCATCTTGTATCGGAACGCTCGGAGATACCTCCACGGAGATATCAAGGCGAGCTTATTGGCCAATCGTATCTTCCTCATTTCATTGGGGTTCAATTCCTTTAGGATTCATTCAGGCAGGGCTTTTATTATCTTTGAGTGCTGGACGCATGGATAATTTCCGTGTTCCGAATGCAAGCCACTATCTTGATACTCTTAATTTAAGCGATCTGTATTGAATATCACTTAAAGGGACTTGGACTGCCATATAATAATATGCAACACAGAGCTTTACAGTAGCCGAGGTCTTTGAGATGGTTCGAAACTTTGCATACAGGTGTTGCTCCAAACAACCTTCGACTTACATACTTGACAAAGTAATATCTTCAAGTTCCAGGCAGATCCTAAGTTGGAATTAAGACGAGAACTGTTATTTCTTGTTATCATGCTCAGTAACCTTGCCGTCCTGCAGTAGGGTATCTCATAGAGACTGAACCCGCCTGCAGCCATCAACTGTCATACCTTGAGCTATGTTTCGCAAAATGTTCGTCGTAGAGTGGCTGAATTTGACTTTTGGTCGGATTCAGCGGCCCGGCTTTAATCCGCTGAAAGCCTGAGCCAACAACGAAAGTCTAGGAATGGTGCCTAACCAACATGCTCTCCCGTCATCATCAGATGTAGCGCTTCTAAGATGCAAACCTCGCCGCCTACAATCTTCGTTGACTCTCTCCCCAAAGGCTCTAGAGTTACATTTAGAGACTCTACGTTCTTCGCACGTAATAGGCCTGGGAAAGCTTTCCCATCAGCTGATCAAGTCCGAGCTAAGAGTGAAGCGGGCGATCACGTCCTTCATAGAAAGAATACCGTCATTTTTGAGTCACTTGGCTTGGTCGTCAAATTTGGTAAAGAGCCCCGTGTCACTGCTGCGGAAGGCCAGTGCCTCTGGTGGTTGCGTCGGTGTCTTCCAAGCGTCCCTGTACCTGAGATATATGGCTGGACAGACGATGGAGGAGAAGGCTTTTTGTACATGCAGCTGGTTGAAGGCGTGACTTTGGAGAAAAGATGGGATTCCCTGAGTAGAGAGGATAAAGTTGGGGTTTGTGAGCAACTGCGAGATATGCTCGATGAGTTACGTCAGGTAAAGCGCGATCCAGAGGACGAGTTTCTTGGTATATAAGAGCCCGGCTGCCATGGGAGTTATCATGTTGATCAGGAAACAGGACAAATCAACCGTGGACCACTACAGGATGTGGTATTCGCCGACGGAACCCGACCAAAAGCAGGACCGTTTTTATCTATGAAGGAGTTCCATGACTGGTTTTCTTTCCTAGTAAGACGACAATCCGCAAGTGGTCCCCACTGGGAAGATTACGAACTAGAGGATATACCTGACCCATATCGCCAACTTCTACCTGACGATCCTGGAGTTGTGTTCACGCATGCTGACCTCCACCCAAGCAACATAATGGTCTCTGAAGGCTCACCGTGCCGTATTAACGCCGTGATAGACTGGCACCAGTCAGGCTGGTATCCTGATTACTGGGAGTTTTACAAGGCTGAGTATACCAACCACTGGGAGTCTGAGTGGGTGCAGGAGTACATCCCCATGTTCTTGAACAAACCGAGAGAGACATTTCTCAACGGGATTGACAGCTACGCAGCCTCATGGGGTTTCATGTAACCTCGAGAGCAATTCTTACCAGAAAGCGAGACGATGTTGGAGATTCTGAACGATCTCTCCAGAAAGGAAAAAGTACCGCACTTCTTGAGGGGTTCAGAAAGTGTTTGACGCGTCTAGCAAAAAGGGGACTACAGCCTGATCTTATACAAAGGGCAAAAAACATACAACAGCGGGGATTCGCTGGTCGTCACCGACCCAACTACTAATCCGCCCCTTACAGGCTTGACTATGGGAGAGCGGACGGGATCCCGTATTTTCCTGTAGGTATGGTCGTATGTGGTTGGATGCGGTCGGATTTTGGTACAAGTTCAGGGTTGGCAAAGCGTTATGTCGTTGTTCCAACGTCTTGACATCTGGCGAATCCAGATATATGTCTCCAGTCGAGTTAAGCATTAGTTAGTGGCTGATCTAAATGTATAGAGTGGAGTATATTTATAGATTCCTTTATTAATCATGCCTTGTTTAACCATATAAAGAAGTGGAATAAAGACCTCTCTTTATACCCTTTCTAAGTGCTATTCTCCAAACCGTAATACGCATGGCCTGCCAAGAAGTCCAGACTGTTCAAAACCGTCCGAACTTCCCTGAAATGGTTTCACATGCAACGGCTCCCAATTTTCCGTGACGCTATGATGCTCACTGATGTTCTTCGATACGGACAAGCCAATCAAAGCAGGTTTCTGCCAGGCTGAGGGGATCGCCAAGCATGCTAGACCCTGATGGTATAGCTAGGCGAAAACCTAAATAGCTAGTCGAGGCTGAGCGGTGGAGTCACTGTGGATGCTTGCGCCATGGCCTTTGGATCCGGCATGATCTTTATATTGTTGAGGTCCCATGCGGTTGAATATTCGCATTTATTTCACTTTTGACATCACATAATGGCAGGACAGTACTACGCTGTGCCGTCAAACGGCCAGCACGACATCCATCTCCAATTCCAGAACCCACCAACTACACCGAGCCCACCATTGCAACCATCCAGATCCTTCCAAGGTCTTCCAGCTCGCCGCCGATCAAAAGTAAAACTCTGGTTCGGCCTCATCGGAAAATGGTGCATCACAGTTATCTTCATCATAGTCATCTATGGGATCTTGATCGCATATGCTCTCTACGATGTCATATCAGAGAAACAGAAGAAGTACTTTAATGCATTAATTACAGGGTTCCTTATTGCTCTGGGACTATCAACTATGAGTCAGTTGACCCATGCGGTACAAGATTTGAGATGGTGGATCCTGAGTAAGAGGCCGAGGTCCCGTCAAAAAGTACGTTTTAACGAGGTTTGGAAAAGGGCAGTTTACTAATGGGTGTAAAAATAATTAGGTCAAAGCGATTTTGCATGTTCATAGCATGAGCCAAGTATTGGTCTTGGCATTCAAATCGAGTCGATGGACAATTCATGTTGGAGTCGCAACCTGGGTAGCGCTATTTCTTGTGCGTTCACATTACATCTAAATTCTCTCAAAACCTGACTAACCACCGACAAACACAATCAGGCAACTCAAATCGGATATGCCTCATTAGGTCTGTGCTACTCGGTCGAAAAAACCGAAGACCAGGCCCTCTTGATTCCCGGGAACGTCTCCATCGCGAATTTGAGCACCATCTCAACCTCGAGTGTTGTCAACGCATCCGGTTCAACAAAGAGCGAAGAGTACGCGGCAAACAGCTACGGGATCATATCCCTGGCTTTAAACGAAGGGGATCCCGATGATATCCTTTCTCCTGGGACTTTATTCTTTGCAGACAATAAGTTTCTATTTTGTGACGGGTCCTGTGTTTATGTCTTTCGCGAGACGAATACCCTTTCTTTGGATAATCCGAAAAGCGCTCCTGTCTCAGCGGTCACCGACAGGAAAGTGAATATCACGGCGCATTGCGACGCGTTGAAGGTCCGTCAAGGGGGCAATGGAACGGAGGAGCTGATCACCGTCAACAATGGGAGCAGAGAAACAAATATCACATTACCTAGTAAGGAGGTTCTTGGTGAGAAGGTTTATATGACATCTGCATCTCGCAACTGCGGCAGCGACTGCAGCATTGTTTCAGTGTTTGAACCATCGTCGACAGATCCGTGGTTTTACAACTGCACCGTCAAAATGAGCCCCGTTGAGAACGCGAAGAGGCCAGAGCACGAAGTTAGTGAGAGACTGATGCGCTTAGCAACATCGGCAATAGCCCTAGGAGGCCCCGACGGTCCAAACGATACCCGATCAAACAGCTACCCCGCTGCGTCGGTGTTCGGTATACCACTGAATGGCTCAACAGAACAAGTAGAATACCTTTTATCACGCTTCGCTACGGGTATGCTAGCAGCTGTCATCGAATCAAACACAGATATTGTACTCGCCGGCCAAATGCCTACGATCGGACAGAAACTCAACGTTTCGCACTGGGGAATCATCACCTTGATCTTATGGATCACGGCATTTCTTCAATTGTTGGTGGCTGTTGTGGCGACCAAGGTGTCGGAACGGGTTGTTGTGCCAGAAGGCGACTCCCTTTCCGAGGCTAGAGTCTTGAGAGGCATGGTTGAGGAAGATATGTTGGATGGGGAGATGAGGGACAGTGCGGGAGGGAAGGGAAAACGTTTATGGATTTACAGGAATAGACACGTTGGTGACGGGTTGTATGATTTGTATATGGAGGAGGTTAGAACTTAGTATGCTTATATCACATATCTCAAGTTAATATTGGTGTAAGGCTTGCTTATAACCGTTGATTGCAATGGTTTGCGGGGACATTTGGCCGTCGTCGTCTCCGGCATCTATGTTTGGCTCGAGCAATGAGTGTTCAAACGAGCCCAAGTTTTCCTTGATTGCAGCGCGGAGCAATTGTGTTCGTTTGATTACCATGACAAAGTTGTTAACATAAAGTAAAGGGAAAAAGTCATAGTCGTCGCGTGATATTTCTACCTGTCTATTTGTGATATTGATGCTCATCCAGGGTAGTTTCTGTAGGCACCGGCCTGACCTCGGCTGATGAGAGTCTTACCGAACACAATTTGTATCCACTGGCGGGTTTAGCTCAGTTGGGAGAGCGTCAGACTGAAGTCAAACTTCAATCAACCGATATCTGAAGGTCATGTGTTCGATCCACATAAACCGCAATCTGATCTTTTTGCGACTGCTGCTTTTTACCACTTATTTTTACTTTAAAAGTTGAGCGCCAGCCGCTTTCGTGCGACTGTTTTATTTCTCTAGATCAGCCAGCGTCCCCCCCTTAAGTCACTGAATTGCCTTCCTTTACATCGCCATTGCCTGACAGTCTGTAACGTCTTGGCTCTTAGAGAACTGCCTTGTACCAGAAGAATGTAAAACATTCATGATATAAAATAACCCTGCAATGTGCACTCGCAGTATCGAAGTAAATATATGCCAACAGCATTGCCCTTGGCTCCTATCTCTCTACTCATCCCCAACTCCCCGGTCTCAATCCTATTATGAACCTTCGTGACATTTCATAGAAGTTTGAGGCTTTATCTATTGGCACGCAATTTCTTCCAAAGCTTATGCATGCGCTCAGCTTGTCCAGGGGTAAACCTCTTGGGACCGCACTCACTGCATCTCGTTAGCTTCGTTTCCAACTTCAAGATATGAACAACTTACGGCTCGACATAGTCCATGAAGTTATCCGTAGGATCAAAACCAGGCTTATCAGGGCAGCTGTTGAGATCAGGGGGAGGGCACACCCCATACTCTGGAGGCGATGCCTCATAAGGAGTATCATCAACATAGTCGCCTGGTTCTTCGCAACCATTCTCAAAGGTATGCTCCAGACCAAGCCAGTGCCCAACCTCATGAACGGTAACGTAGTTGAATTTTGGAGGGACCTCGCCAGGGTTATTGGGCCTCATGATGCAGCCGTCGAAGAGGATATCGTTCTTGGTGGGATTGGGAACAGGGAGCTCGCACTTTCCACCAGGGGGCATACTGGCAATGAAGAACAGATTAAGATCCTTGTAGGTTCCTTGCCTCAATGCAGCCCGGAGCTCCTCTTCGAATTCACCGACTGGACTGATGGGATAAGCCCAGTCAGAGTTGATGGTTCTGCTGGTATTCATCAACTTGAACGAGAAATTCCAGGGCTTGAATTTCTCGTTGAGAAGGCTCATCTGTTCCTTGACCGTAGCTTGCTGTGAAGAGTTAGTACATTAGCTTTGGAGGTTTCTTTGGGACTTACGCTAAGGTAGTTGTCTTCTTCCTTCTTGCTTGCTGCGAGGATATGCACGTAGGTCTTGACCTCTACATTCTTATGTTGTCCTCGGATTTCCAGATGCTCATTTGCAAGGTCTTTTGAGATGGCTTTCAAGCCATTGCTGGATCCCGAGGTACCGCAGTCAAAGCCAGCGGCTGACACAGAGCTGGCCAGGAGGCCGAGAGCAAGAGCAGATTGAAGATGCATCCTGAGTGATGAGAGATAGACGACGAATTGAATGCTTCAAAACGGGTGGTGCCAAGGGAGTCGTGTCCGACTATTTTATATAAAATCAGTTTTCGTATTGCCAGCTTGCAATTGGGACTTTCGAATCCTTTCCAATCCTTCCTACACTGCGCCACGTTCGCCAGTACTGGTTGGATTCTTGGCAGTACCCCTCACAAGGTCGAAACACGAGGTCGGACCAAGCTAGCGTTACTTTAACAACGATTGAATAGGAAATAAGGATCTTGGTCCAGGGGGGGTTGGAGATGCAAGCAGGCTGACACCTTTCCCATTGGCTGGTTGAAGGCAGGAGGATCGCGGGGTTACGTGGACTTTCGCTGTTCTCGGCAGAGAATTAGGCAAAGAGACACAGTTGTAGGATTGGAATCGTAATACACGGAGTCAAACAGGCCGATTGTCCTTTACGTTAAAGAGTACACTATTCAGATCTGTTTACGACGCGCGGTTTCTACATTGTCTGCCTGCTGTTGGCGACTATCATGATCACTGGCTTCTACGATGAAGCGCGGAACAGTAAATTGAGCATACCAGCTACAAGTAAGGCTTTTTTTGGCGTAGCCAGTTGCAATAGTACATTCCTATTGAACGCGAGTGAGAAGGTGCTGCTAAGATGTTAGCAGGGTATTCCTTTAGGCTAATGTCTTAGAAGGCTGTTTACCAGGATCTGAAGCCTCCAAGGTAAGGCAGACTTACGACGCTCGTCTGATGAGGCTAGGAGACACACAATTATCATACAAATATGTGATATTTACTAATAGACGCCGCTCCTTAATGCTTTCTGGTCTAGATAGGTGAGTTTAAGGTTAAATATTAACCTTGAAATTCGAAAGACGGAAACAAGTTTGTGACTTCTCAGGATGAAAGTTTTCGGCAAGTAGACAAGACAATGTCACAACCTGTACTATTTTGAGTTAAGACTTGTGGCTGAGAGGTTAAATGAGCAGAGAGAACTTAGAGCTTAGTCACAACCTGTTCCCGTATTGTCTTATTGTTTATCATCAAAGCTTCTGGGTACAATCATATATTGGGAAAAGGAAATATCGCGTTCTCATTCATCACCTGTGGTCGCAGCCCAAAGCTTGACCTTCAGGCGGCAGCCAACCCCATAGTTTCCTTTTTGTCAAGGGCAAGGTGTTCTGATATCCAGTAATGAGAGACATGCATTGAAGGACATAATGTCCATAAACATTAGACGAGTTTTGCGTAATATGTTGTTGCAAAACGTCGGATTAAATGGGCTGGAGATGGTTCTGAACTTGGTTCTTGCAGTCAAATTGGGATGGAATCTTCAGGTTATGAACATGACGTAAGTTTGATTGGAATCAGAAGCTTTTACAGCGCAAACTCACTGTCTGGCTCTACAGGCCAATGGCAAGTCAGGTGGTGCTGAAATGTCTGTTTTTGCGTTCAGGTTTGGAGCTTATTTCGTCCCACGGACATACAGTGTAATGAGCAGCTGATGTGAGTTTGAGGTTAAAGATTTGAGTTCATGTGTATTATCACATATACCAATAAGAAATATTGACAGAGTAATAGATAAGTTTTCGACTCCAGGTCATATCAAGTGATAAAGATCTAGCCTTTCGTGAATGACATAAAAGTGAGCCACATCTACCTGGTGCCGTGCCATGATTTCAGTCCTATCAATAATCCTCACAAGCACTCAGCACATACCGTCACGTTCTCGAGCAACCATCACATTCTCACCATGAAGCCTTCCGAAATACCACCCACAAACGAAGGCTTGTCAACATTTGCATGCTTTCCGCGCCTTCCTCCCGAGATCCGTGAAATGGTATGGAAGTGCCTGATCTCAGTGCAACGACACCTGAGGATAGAAGTGCGCTTCGGAGAGCCTACCAAGATAGGGTCTTTCTCAATCTCCGAGGGATTTTACCTCTCTCAAGTCTGCTCTGAGAGCCAAAAAGTCCTTGATCGTGTTATCGCATATCAGACTGCGAAAGATGGCGACGATGCTTCTGTTGATGAAGATTTTGGCACCGTTCTCCTGACAACACTGGATAAGCCATCACTGGAGATCTTATCTTCCCTAACAGCCAATATCGATTGTATTGCGGTACCATGGCCCGCCAGGACAGGAGAAGTAAAAGAGTTCCATGTAGCTCTACACAAGAGGGTAGCTGCCGGTGGTCGACAGATAAAAGCCATCTACACTGGGAGATCATCGGAACTTGGAGGCCAGTTACGACCCCCAAGGAATCACTACATGACACCACTAGCGGATTTCGAAGTCATGACCGAAGACGACGCTGAAATATACCCGCACTCCAGGGACTGCTTCTTTGTTGCACGATCGAGGTCCGAGTACTTCATCTACACAACCCGAGATTATGAGAAGGCTTCAGAAGACCTACGCTCGACCTGGGAGAGACTTCCTTCCAAGGACGGAACTGCAGAACCAATGATAAAGCCAGGCTTTATCTTGATCCGCACAGCCAGAAGGCGTCGACTCAGCTGACATACTATTGGGGTTATTCCTATCAGCCCGTCCAGCGATTAGGCAAGCACCATGTTATTACAGTCTCAGTTCAGCGTTTAAAGGCTGGAACAGATCTACGATCTTAGATCGAGCCGTTTGCGGCCCAGTCTCACTGTTCCCGGCCACATTCCAGGGCCAACAATCGCCCCCAGCACGGAATTCCGGGAACCCGCTAAATCATTTCACGATCACCAGGAAGAAACTTCCAAATCCAGCGCTGACCCGAAAATTAAGGGCCTGCTATTTGTCTCCGCCACCGCCTTGTTTCGAGACCGTTAGTGCTTATATACAATGGATCCAATAAATGAAGCATAACAATCTCTATTCCTTCAAATAAGTCTCAAACAGACCAAAATCCCAAGACAGTAAATACAAATCGCTCAGCCACAGAGGCTCGGCCCGCTAGAAATGAAGAGGACCTAAGCTCAGACATTTGCAATGCTGTCTGGTATGTTGAGAAAACTAAGTCTACAGGGGACCCCTGTAATGCTCAGCCTTGATATCCACCGCTAGACCAGGACCGACATATGACATTCCTCTTAGTACGGTCTAGGCGGGAATCCTACGATCCTTCGAAATCATACGCTTGGTATATAATAAGCGTGCCAAGTCGTGATGGACTCAGGCCAAGATACTCCCTAGCTTCTCACCATGCATATCGCTTCCTACGTCTCCGTCGCATTCACAGTGCTTGGCCTCGCGGCTGCGTCGCCTAAGGGATGCACTACCAAGCGATCCCCCGAGCCAGAGTTAGAGAATGGCCATTACATCGTTGACCGCGCGACAAAGTTCGCTAACAAGAAGGTTTGGACGTTCAATGGCAAGAGTCTTCCTGAGGGCCTTTACTCGAGCGATTATCAAGTGGGAAATACCCATGTTTACACACCATCTGGTGTCAAAGTCCGCAATGGGTACCTTGAGTTGACGGTCCCTGGTGGCCAGAAGTCGAAGCCCTACAAGTCTGCTGAGGTTGCGACTGAGATTGAGAACATCAAGTACGCTTCTGTCCGAACCACAGCTATTCTTAGCGAACCTGCAGGTGTTTGCAACGGTACGTTTAACCAACCATCTCAGTTATCGATGTATTAATATTTCAGGAATGTTCTTCTACCAATCTGACAGCCAAGAGACCGACATCGAGTGGCTCTCAGACCCCAAATCTGAGTCCAACTACGACGGTATTCGTCGACTATGGTTCACCAACCAGGACAATAACGGCGACGGCGAGCCAACTGACAAGAATGTCCTTCCTCCTGCAAACCCTACAACCACTGAGCACGAGTACCGAATTGACTGGACCAAGGGTCTTGTTCAGTTTTATGTTGATGGTGTGAAGCAGTGGTCTACTAAGAAGGATGTTCCCAATGTTCCTGGACCTTGGATCTGGAATAACTGGTCTAGCGGTGATAAGGGCTGGAGCGCTGGGCCTCCTAAGCAGAATGCTGTGTTTAAGATTAAGAAGATTGAGATGTACTACAACACTGCTTAGAAAATGTTTGGATAGGTGTTGGTTTGGTGCAGGGTTTTTGGTCCTGTAGAATATTTGCATTCGGGTTGGTAGCATTGAATTGAAGAACACATAGAGTCATGATATAATGCTGTCCGCAGAAGACAAGTCGTTCTTCATTATTGCCCTTCTCCTTCACAGTGAGCCTCCATTATTAGCAAGCTCGATGCTTCAATGACTTTTGTATCGGACGTTAGATCTGAGAGGCATAACGTCCCAATATTTGATGCATCTTAGTCCTCAGCCGTGTATGAGTCGAACTCGGCCGATCACTGAAGGGTTGATAGTTAAAGCATCCAATGGTGATACATTTACCATATATTCTGGATATCTCGAATATTCACGGCCAACCAAATTCTTAAGATTTGCTATTCTTTCTTGAAGCACAGAACGAAAGGAATTTCTGGTCAGATGAGAAGCGTGCAATGCGTTACCTGTCACGACACCCAGGAGCACACCGCTTCAGTATCAGCCTTTGGGTGAAATGGCATAAACTTCATAAGTCATTCAAGTATCTCTTCATCCCAAAATCACCGTATCAAAGCAGACACTATTCCGCCGCCGGGCTACTCTCCTTGGGCCTCTCAGGCTTCTGCCCATAAACACTGAACCTACACTTCATTAGCACCCCAACCTACTTAACAAACAGCATCAAACTTACACATGACCATAAGCCTGCGTCTTAGGATTCATAAGGACCTTTCTCATCTCCGCCGCGAACAGCTGCATCTCCTCCGGCGACCACTTAAGAATCTCACAGAGCGGCAACTTGACGAAACCATCGAGGGCCTGGCTAAACGAGAGTCCCACAAAAGTTCCGAGCTCTTTCTTCTTCTTGTCCCTTGGCCAGCGTCCAATGGGTACTTTGTGCGTTTGCGGAGTTACGGATACAAAGCCTGCGTCTTTGGCGAGGGTTGCGAGTTTGCCGTTGGAGAAGTCGAATGTGCAGCCGATTGTTTCGCCGACTTGGGTGAAGATCTTTGCCCAGCGTGTGAAGATACTAGTGTTCGTTAGAACGGGGGAAAATCTTATGGGGAAGGATGCGTACTGCTCTTCGTCGACCTTGATCTCTGGGTTTTGAGAAAGCATTTGCAGATCAGGCTCTATGTGCTGGAACCAACCACCTGGCTTAAGAGCCTTGTACATCTGACCATACAATCTATCCCAATCAGCAATAGTGCCCTGAAGATATCGAATGTGGATAAAGTCAAAGGACTCGGGTTCAAAGGTCCATTCAAGTTGAGCGTCATCGATCTGAAACTCAACATTTGGAGGGACGAAGCTTGGCTGGGTTGGGGTGATGTCTGTAGCAATGACGCTGGCTGATGGGTATTCGTCTGCTACGTTTATAGCCCAGATCCCAGTTCCTGTACCGATGTCCAAGATTTTCTAGATTTCGTGAGAATTGGAGTCTACGGTGATGAAGAGACATACCTGCGGGTTGTCGCCGATGGGAGGAAGAAAGAGTTTGTCGTCGAGCATCAATGTCAACCAATGATGGCTAAGCAGTTAGCCAACATGTACACTCTAGGTGCGTGGCGATGAACTTACATGAGATCAAGTGCTTCGAGTTGCTCCTCGTCATTGGGGGCCCTGTTCATCAGCGATGTTCACTCTCATCACGAAATGTCTTACCAATGCTTTCCATATTTAGGATTAGCATAAGTTCTTCCCTGAAAGTACTTATTCTCGAAGATGCTCGACGTGATCGAGGCTGTCGACTCGGTTTCACTACCTTGTCAGCTCAATCCCGATAAACATAACCATCAACATACCTATCAGCGCTGAAGTTACTCTCAGTGTCGTTGCCAACATCCAACGCGGGTTCCTACCAAGATTAGCAGTCGTCGATCTCATTATAGCTAGTGAATAACATACTGCTTCAATTGGAGCCGCCATCTTTTCGTTATGGGTTGTTTCTCAGTACAAAGAGACGAAATAAACTCAGGCGTGCGGGGTCGGTGGTGTCTTTATGTCTTTGTTGGGGGGTTACATGACATGTCGAATTGCTTCTGTGCCGCATGCGCTGAAATGCATGAACGGAGGACGCTATCCAGTGATGGGAAAGTGACAGGTGGGTCTAGTCGCATTGTTGATGGGGGTCGATGGGCTTTTTGTTCTGTTTTGTTTGTTGGAAGGGGTATTATGCCAGCAATCATGAATTGGCGAGTACTACCTACACTTGTAACACTCATGACCTTGTTCTGGAACATCTCGAGACATTCTTCCTTCTCAAAAGACGATAAAGAAGTGATTCATTAAGAAACTGTCATCTCTTGTCTCTTCTCTAGCCTGCGGGGCCAACTACGCTAATGCGACCACGGCTTGAAAGGACCCTTGTTCCAGGCGTCTTCACAACAAGCTTTTTCAACTGTGACATGCTTGGTTATTGGTCGTCTTTAACCTTTTGAGGCTGGGAGGCCGTTGTAACGTGTTCACATGGTAGCCACTCATGTTGTCGTAATGCGATTGGAGGCGTTTGACATCGCGCCACTGGTATGTACACCATGAAACACTGGAGATGGTTGCAGATGTACGACAATGCGACTGTATCCATTTCATAGGTCCTTAATAATTGTCCCCCTCACTTATACTACAGTCTACAGAGACAGTCAGCCCCTAAAAACGCACGAAGTCGCTCCAATAATTCCAATCCAACAGGTCATCGCCAACATTAAAATCCCATGCATCCAGTGCACTACCGGTCATCTCAGCATCACCCTGCCCAACACGTCTCTTACTCCAAAGCAACTCAATGCAAGCCGGCGCAGCCTCACCATCAGTCAACGCCTTCCGTCTCGCCTCCCAGGCTTCCAACGTCAAGTTCCCAAAAGCAGTGTATAGCGAATTATCAACACTATCCACAAGTTCAGGATGATCAGTGTATAAACTGTCAACAAGTTTCCAAGCAAGATTAATTCTTGGCCCGGAAGGTCGTCGGCGGAGTTCGCTAATGACATAGATCCAAGCGTCAATTTGGTAGAGTGATGTTAGATGAGTAAACATCTGAGATGAGAATTTACTCTCAAACCCTACGTTGACGAGTTCCAAAAACGATAGCGCTGCGTTGAAGAGAATATCGCTATCCTCTTTCGTCATGTAAACATCCGCATCGCCAGGTGCTGCTCTAGCCCTCGGGTGATGTAACCTGAAGCGCATTCTCGCGATAGCCAGTTTAGCCATGGCATACGTCAGGTCATGAAAAGGAACCGCTCTATCAAGCTTGGCAAGATATTTCTTCGTGTAGATAGCTTCAAGCTCGTTAATCGCTTCGTCCTCGGCTTTGGTCGATCCCCCAGGTCTTCCGAAGCCGGGCGCTATGCAGTCAAACACTTTTGCTGCTTTGGGAGATGAGCGGAGCCACTGTGTTACTTCAAACTTCATCAGAACGCAGACCATTTCTGTAGGGCCGGCGTGCTGGACTGGAGGTTCTAGCATGTCTGGATGAAGGTCTGAGTCGTTGATGTTGAAG